AAGTACAATGTGAATGGAAGGCATTAATAAAGAATAAGGCTCCAGAATCTGATGAAATAAAAACTGAAATCTTTCAACAGACTGATGCAGCCCTGAAGGCACTCACTCATCTATGCCAAGAAATTTGGACGACAGCTACCTGGCCAGCCGATTGGAAGAGATCCATACATGTGCTCATTCCAGAGAGGTAACCCAACAGAATGTGGAAATCCTAGGACAATATCATTACTATCAAATGCAAGTAAAATTTTGTTAAAGATAACTAAAAAATGGCTGCAACAGTACATTGTCAGGGAACTGCCAGGGGTTCAAGCCAGATTCAAGCAAGGATGTGGATTGAGGGATATCATTTCTGATGTCACATGCATCTTGTCTGAAAGCAGTGAAAATCAGAAAGATGTTTACTTGTGACTTATTGACCGTGCAGAAGCTTTTGTCTGTGTTGATCTTGACAAGTTATGTACAACACTTAAGAAAATGGATGTTCCGGAACACTTAATTGTGCTCATAAGGAACCAAGTGGCTGTTGTTCAAACAGAACAAGGTTTTACATGGTTCAAAATCAGGAAAGGTATGTGTCAGGGTTATATGCTTTCACCAGATTTATTTAGTCTGTATGCTGATCCAGTAAGCCAAGAAACTGGGTTATATGAAGAAGAATGTGGTACCAGGATTGGAGCAAGGCTCATTAATAACCTGAGATATGTAGATGATGCGATCTTACTTGCTGAAAGTGAAGAGGACTTAAAATACTTACTGATGAAGAACAAAGACCACAGCCTTCGGTATGGATTGCACCTCAATGTAAAGAAAACAAAAATTCTCACCACTGGAGCAATATATAATATCATGATAAATGGAGAAAAGACTGAAGTTGTCAAAAACTTCATTTTGTTTGGATCTACCATCAACACTCATGGAAGTGGCAATCAAGAAATTAAAGGATGTATTATTGCATTAAGCAAATATGCTGCACAAGACCTCTTTAAAGTGTTCAAGAGCAAAGATGTCAGTTTGAGGTCTAAAGTGTGCTGGACCCAAGCCATGAGATTTTCAATAGCCTCATATAAATGTGAATGTTGGATGATGAATAAGAAAGACCACAGAAGAATTGATGAGTTATGTTGTTGAAGACTATTGAAGGTAACATGGACTGCCAGAAAAATAAACAAATCTGTGTTGGAAGAAGTATAACCAGAATGCACTATAGTAGACAAGATGGCCAGACATTTTCTCTAATATTTTGGACATCTTATCAGAAAGTACAAGTCCCTGAGGAAAGGCATCATAGTTGGTGAAGTGGAGGGACAGCAAAAAAGAGAAAGAACCCCAACAAGATTGATTGGCACCATGGCAACAACAATGGACTGTAGGGCAGTAGCAGTTGTGAGAAGGTGCTGGACCAGGTGGTGGTTCATTCTGTTGTACACAGGGTAGCTATGGATTGGAACTGACTTGACAGTACCTAACAACAACAAAGTGACAAACTCACAGTCTGAATAACACTATATCATGTATTCTAAGTGCTTACTTTACTCAAGAGACCATTAAATACTCCATCTACATTATTCGACTTAGTTCTCTCCAAGTAATTCACAAGGACCTATTCCCACTGAATGCAGACACAGAGGAGTTAAATAATTTGTTCAAGGCACATAACTAAACAGTTGCAATGAATGATGATTTAATTAGGAATAGTATGGTAGGGTTCTCTGAAGTCAAGTAAAATTTGAGGTCCAACCCTAGGTTTACCAAATCAGAGTCATTTGAGTGAAGCCCATAGTTTAACAAATTCTCTATTTAATATTTATGGACAAGGAATTGTCAGAGCTATTGCAGAGGGAGTGATAAGAAAAATTTTCTGAAGTAGAAAAAAGTAGTGCAAAGACGATGTCATAGATAAACATGACCAACAAAAATAGACATGTTTATGAATTGCTGAAGATTGCTTGAGAGGGTGAGAATAAAATTGATGATAGGTTCTCCAATACCAAATAATAATTACATAATTATTAATTTTACTGTTATTTCATTTCTAAAAACAAAGAAGACCACATCAAAATACAGGGTTGATAGGGAATGGCAAGTTAGACACTGGCTACCTAAAATGGGGGAGGGAGGCTATAAAGGCACGAAGTAATAGGCTTACAAGTTTTCAAAAGGGAGTTTAGTTTCAGAGTGTATGGGGGAAGGTATAATTTCCACTGAATAGTTTTCATTTTGTCTATATAGGTCTGGTGGAGGGATATGGGGATAAGATTCTTATGATTTAATAGTGAATATTTGTTATCATGACTAATTGCTACTGTCACAACTGTAAAGGTAGAAGTTTTATAACAAAAAGGGAGAGTAGTTAATCTTACAGTCCAGGAACAGAGGACCCTAGGACCATCAAGGGAGAAGAGCATGAGTTGAATGTGGAACCCAATCCAGAGAAGCAGCAACACTAGAGATGGAGGGAGAGATGAGGCAATGGAGAGATAGAGCAGCCGAGAACTCTAGACTCATGGAAAGAGAAAGGCTGTGTGCTGGTAGTCAGCAAGCAGACTTGAAGAATGTGCCCTTTGGTTGTTTAAATGATAACATATTCCTCTGAGTGTTTTTGTGTACATCCCAACAACAACAACAATAACAAACAAAGAAACCCCAGAGGGAATAGAAGCAAATACTATTGAATGATGAGGAGATTGTAATCATTGTAATGAAACGATGAGTATACAATCGATATTCTCTCATGTAAATTATCACTCAATTTACAATAAAAACTTAATAAATAAATAAATCTGACTTCCCTCCAAAATAAATACATAAAACAAAAATCATAAGAAACATAGGACTAGAGTACCCAGAAGTCTTTTTTTGCCTGAATGATGATCTTTGTAGTCATTTGACCCTATAAATATGCTACACTACCTTCTGGTATGGCTCTATAGGATAAGCACTGGATTGTAAACCTCATGGTTGGTGGTTCAAACCAATCAGCTAATCCTTGGAAACACTATACAGGGTGGCTATGAGCCAGAACTAATTTAACAACAACAACCTCTTTCCCAGAGGTGAACAGATGACTATAAAATGATATTTTCTCAAAAGCTTTAGAAATGAAGCCACAATACAAATACAAGGAATTAATCATTAATATTGTTTTAGCAGAGTAAATTTATGCAGATATGCAATAATGTTATATTGCTCTCTGAAATACTAAGTAACCTGAACATGCCTATTTTTATAAAAAGACTTCATTTTACCAAATGCTCTGAAAGGAATCACATTAGAGAGTCCCAGATAGACTGGGAGAAAATGTAGAACAAAATTCAAAATTATGGGGAAAAAAAGAGCAGGCTTACCAGTCTGAAAGAGACTGGATACAATGGCCCTCGGCCACCCTTCAGGTCTGAAAAGAAGTTCAGCCTCATGGTCCAATTTTTAGCCAAGCAGTAGATCATGAGGACAACAACGCCAGTAAGGGATGTTCACCATGGAATGGTCAATCTTTCAAAAGGGCAACACGTAGCTAAAAAAGTTGAGAAGGGATGGACATAGGAACCATAGGGAGGAAGCAAGATAACTCTTCTTGCATGGAGGGGATTGCAATCATTGAGATGAAACAAAGCATATGATTTGTTTAATGTAAAACTGATGATCCTGTCACTCAATTCATAATAAAAAGCTGAAAAATAAAGACAAACAACTTAATTTTAGAAATTGGACCCGAGATATAAAACGAAAAAAAAAGAATCAAAAAAGAGCAACTGCAGGCATGTTTCCATTTGGGTAAAATGAAATATTTGCTTGGCAAATTTGTTCAGGTATCATGGAATCCAACAACAATAATAACCGCCAACTGCTAAGCCACCTTTCTCATTGCCCACTGATCTAATTGAGGGCATAGGAAAGAGTCTATTCTAGTCAGACATTAGTGGATCAACTCAGACTGTTCCCTTTTATCTGTTACATTTGCTCATCCTTGATATCTAATTCATTGTGATTGTTGTTAAGTACTGTTGAGTCGGTTCCAACTCTTAGCAACCCTGCACAGGGTTTCCAAGGAGCAGCTGGTGGGTTTGAACTGCCAGTCTTGCGGTTCACAGTCCAGTGCAGACCCTACAATCCTACATGAAGAGTTCAATTCATTGTAATAGTTACATACAAAGTTCATGGGCTGTTTGTTCTAGAACATTTAAATAATACGTTAGTTTATTTCTGATTCGCAAAGTCCTTTGCTTATTATATTTCTATTCTCCTGTTTCACATGTCAGTATTATTTGAAATTTACTTATAATGGCATTTGTTTTATAAGGCTTCCCGTTAATACCAAGGAGCCCTATTCGTGCAGTGGTGAAGTACTCAGCTGCTAACCAAAGGTTGGTGGTTCAAATCCACTAGCCACTTTTGGGAGAAAGATGTAGCAATCTGCTTTCATAAATACTGCCCTGGAAACCTTATGGGCTAGTTATGCTCTATCCAATAAGGTCTGTATGAGTTGTTAGCTATTCAACAGCATCAGGTTTGGGTTGTTAATAGCAGATTAAATACTTTAAGGATTTAGGTGATTAACAGGCAGCCCTTAAAATGACCTCAAAATCATATAATTGGCATAGGTTATATATGTAGTGGAGAGCTTTGGGATTGGAAATAAATTTAAAGACCTCAATTTTTACATTGTTCTAAAGAGCAAGGGGGAAAAATGAGGATTTAAGATTGCATACTGATTAAACTAGCTCCTTCCAACAAACCTGTGGTCAGGTGCTTAGGAGCCAACACTTGGTTTAATCATCTTAGTAAAGATTATCGAGATAGTTTAAAATCCCAAAGCTAGTGTACAGTGCTAGGATGTTCAGAGAACATTCATGAGAAATCAGTTGTATTGTAGGAATTTTAAAACAAGGAAGCAATTCAGTAAGTCAAAAGTGAGGGGAAAGGTTTGCTAATCTTGCCATGAATCAAGTCCAACAGTTCAGATGTCTGAGTTAACCTTGTACCTTTTAAGCAGGTAAAAGATGCCAGTGGTCAATATTGAGGATCTAACGGAAAAGGACAAAATGAAGATGGAACTCAATCAGCTCCAGAAAGAAGTGATGCTGGAAAGACTGCTGGTAAATTACTGCTTTCTTTTGAATTTTACTTTATGTTAGAGACTGGAAATCTTAGATTAGGTAACAGTCATCGGGAAGTTCAATGCAGGAAAAAGAAATAGTTCAGATAAAAATTCGTTTGGATTAAGAATCAGATTAATCTCCGTTTCTAGTCTAAATCAAGTGGTCAGAAAACTATTACCTTCAGGCTAAACTCAGCCCTTAGCTTCTTTCTGGTTGACTATTAAACTAACAGTGTTCCAGATGTGTTCCAGGTGTGACACTGTAGGGTAAACTCTGGAATGTTAACCGTAAGGTCAGCAGTTCAAACCCACAAGCCACACCTTGGAAAACCTATACAAGGTCGCTATGAGTCCGAACCAACTCCACAGCACTTAACAACAACTTAACCATGTTTTTAAATTTTTGGTGGTGGTGGTGGTAATGTACCATGGAGTCAGTTCTGACTCATAGCCACCCTGCATAGGGTTTCTGAGGCTGTAAATCTTTATGGGAGCAAAGAGCCTCATCTTTGTCCTGTGGAACAGCTGGTAGTTTCGAACTGCTGAACTTGAGGTTAGCAGCCTGACCTAGTAACCATTATGCTACCAGAGTGCCTTTTATACATTTTTAAAGGGGTATTTTAAAAAAAGAAAGAAAAGACTATATGGCAAAGATCATATTTTAACTGAGCAATAAAAAATAAAGCAATGCAGCTAGGCATTTGGTGTTTACTTTTTGATAAGCTTCTTTTTACTTGATGAAAGACTTCAATAATGTTCTAATTCTTTTAGCAACTCCCTCATACTCATGAACAGAATGAAAGAGGACATTCTATTCTTCCTTTGCACATAAACACAGAACACACTGGTTCCTCCTAAAAATACCTAACAAATCTTGGAACTGGTTACCAGAGTTCTTTGCTATTTAGAAGGAGCAGAGACGACAAATAAATACAAATTCCCACTAGACAAATAGTGACTGGAGCTTGGGAAAATGTAGATATGGCTTTGTTGATGCTGTTGTTAAATGCCGTAAAGTCGGTTCTGACTCATAGCAACCCTGTATAGGGTTTCTAAGGAGCGGCTGGTGAATTTGAACAGCTGAGTTTGAGGTTCAAACTGACCTTGCAGTTCAGCACATTAACCCACAGCACCACACTAGGACTCCAGATCTGACTTTAAGTCTCTTCATACATTAAGAAAGTTCCTAGAACAAAAGCTCCTCTATAAATGAGAAAGGCACATTTCATAATTTAAAAAACAATTCCAGTATACCAGGCCAAAATGAAACAAGGATTTTGTATTGTTTCCATACTTTGTTAAAAACTTCTACTCCTAACCAAAATTGGGATTTTGGACTTTTTTGTATGTATACGCTTTACATACAGACTGAGGCAAAATCTTGTTTTGCTATAAAGATAAAATATCTATAAATACCAAAAGCCTAAAGCACACACACCCACAAAAAGTTAAACTCCTCATCTTTAAACTTCACGTGGTAGGGACCACAAACAAACTTTTAGAGTAAAGGAGACAAGTTTTTGTCTTCTTTTCTTGAAACATTGAGAAGTTACTTTAATGTTTACATACTCAGAATTGTTGTTTTTCATGGAAAGTGGGTTGTCTTCATGTTGTTTATTCACTGGTGGTAAATTTACCTTGGGATTTTTATTTTGGGTAAATATGACATCACCATCAATCAGTCTATTGGGTTCTTTTTCTCCATTACTCAACTGCCTCCATATTCTTGGAATTCAAACTGATTTTAATATTAGGTTGCAAAAGCTATAATTAAGGAAACTGAGTTACGTAATCAATGTGTACTGAACTCTGACAAAGGACTCAAAGTGAAATAAACCTGAGAAGAATGCAAAGCCCAGTAACAAACATTGTTATATTCATTCATTAGTCAAATCCACATTGCTTGATATGGAGTTAGAGGTTTTAGAAATCTAAGGAGAGTATCACTGATCCCAACTATCATATGAAAATGTGAATGATGATTGGATCTGGGATAAAACCAAGTCAGATCATCCAAACAACTTCATGGCAACATTAAATGAAGGTGGAGTGGTAAGATGGAAGCACAGTCCAGGGTGAAGATCTGTATTCTCCAGGGTGTGATTTTCAGCAAGTAGCCTTTCATGTCAATGCCTCATCAAAATAATTTTATAAACATGGCTTGTATATTTTTTTAAGGAGCTCTGGTAGCATAGTAGATTACCATTGGGATGCTCACCACAAGTTTAACAGTTCAAATCTATCAGCCACTCCACTGGAGAAAGATGAGGCTTTCTGCTCTCATAAAGATTTACAGTCTCAGAAAACCTATCCAATGTTGCTATGGATCAGAATTGACTCCACAGCATATAACCACCACCACCACCACCACCATATATTATTTTAGGCACTTTATTACTCTTAGCCACCTCAGATGCTAGTTATACATGGTAAAAAATAACTTCACCCTGATTCCTGAATTTACAGCCTCTGTCCCTAAAATATGCTGTTGTTGTTTTTGTTAAGTGTGGTGGCATGGGTTCCAACTCATAGTGGCCCTGTATAGGGTTTCCAAAGACCAACTGATGGCTTTGAACCATATACCTTGATGGCAACTGGGACAGTTGGGGAGGAATGTGATTCAAAATTACTGTATATTGAAAAATATGTATAAATCTAAACATTTTATTACCTGAAAGAGTAACCTGACCACTGTTTCCTTGGCCTAGTTGGAAATTATTTGTTCTGGTATGTATATAATGAATTTGCAAAGTTGAAAAGTAATCGACAATCTTACAGGTCTAACATAGATTCAAATTAGTTTACAGAAAACCATGAAGATGTAAAATATTAAAAGCAGTGAAATGGTTAAATAAGCTATGGAATGGCCAGTTAATGGACTGCCAAATTGATATGGTTGTGTGTTAATTCCATAAAAATATATATTAAGTAAACACAAAGAAAATTGGAAACAAGCATGAAAATTTGATTCCATGTCTGTGTTAGTCTCTGTGTGCAACATTTTTCTCACTAAAGGAGTGCTAAGTAGTTCGTTAATAGACCCTGATCCCATTAACATATAAACCTGTTTTTGTTTTGTTTTGTTTTACAAACTATTACTACAATAGGTAGATGGATAAAGAGAAAGTCTACAAACAAAATGAATGTTTCACTATCTCACCAGGGATCCTTGCTTTGAATGTACATATTCCCTGACAATGACCAGAGGGCATGAGATTAAAAAGATACAGTAAGGAAACATATTATAGTAACTAATTTCTTGGATTCTGCCATATTGTTGTTTTTTTTTAAATGTTTATTGTAAATTATGTGAGAGTTTACATGGGAGAACATTAGCTTTACATTCATCCTATTATATATTGTTTCATTGTCATGGTTACAATTCCCTCCATGCATCATCAGCCCACCAAAGGGTATACCCTGCAAGCCTGACCTCCGGTCATCAGCACACAGCCTCTATCCCTCTCTGGGTTTAGAGTCCCCAGCCACTCCATATCTCCACATCATCATCTCTGCCTCCATCTCTGGCATCACTGTTTCTCTGGGTAGGGTCCTGCACTCCGCTCTTCTCCCTTGATGGTCCCAGGGACCTTCGCTCCTGGACTGCAAGTCAATCACTCCCCTCCTTTTGCTACAAAACATCTACCTTTACATTTCCAACTGTCACAGTCAGTCCTGATAACAATTATTCACTATTATACCACAAGAGACCTATTCCCATCTCCTTTCATCAGCCCAGCCCAGAAAGATTGGGAGATTCTACCTTCCTCCATGCCCTCTGGATCTAGGCTCCCTCTTAGAGTTTATAAGCCAGTCATTTCTTGCCTTTGTAGGCCCCTCATTTTGGGTAACCAATGTCCAAGTTGCCCATCCCTGTCTATTCTGTGTATGGAGGGGGTGGGAGTGATTCTCACTGTAAAGATTTGTTCCCTCTTTTGAGCTACTGCATCCATAGGTGTGGGTCACATTCATCAACTTGTATCAGGTTACTCTTTTTTCCACTTCTTTTTTCTTCTAGTTGAGCTCTGATCATCCAGTCATTGAAGCCAGGTCAAGTGGGTATTATCTGCAAGTGTGGGTGTTCTTATGCACATGCCCTCCCTTCTTATCAGCTGGATGCTTCACTCTCCACTCTAGTCCTCTGTGGTTATGTCACTGACTCTGGGCCCAAGAGTCCCCAGATCTTGCCACACTGCTGGCCAACCAGGTCTCCACCCAGGCTCACAGGAGTCTATTGAACATTGCAGGGCTTTGCTCGCAGCTTCATTGCTGTTTTTCCCTCACTTCCCCTTATCGGTCGGTGATGAACGTGGTCACTAATCAGAGTGCATGTCTGCTCCTATATTCCCATTAAGTCTTAGTCTTGGCAGGGGATTTGCCCTGAGGGGACCTGACCACTTGCCTTGATGTGTCCTGGGCAAGCAACTTGCTTTTTCTTGTAATAGTCAGTCAGACTGCTATTATTGTTTTGTCTTTTTCCTGTCGGTCTTTCTTTCAAGAAGTATCCTCTGTTCTCCTAGCTGCTCCAGGCTGGTCTGCTTTTCCTTTCCAGTGGAAATTTTCCACCTCAGAAGATTCTGGGTGGGGTTCAGGATTCACCTATGGTCTTATGTAATGTAGAGGCTCCACAAGAAGCCACCTTCACTGGGCACTTTGTAACCCCATTTTAGGTATTCCAATCAGTTATGGGCAGAAGACGGACTTACAAACTTCTTATGGTGATAGTTCTGTCTATTCCTTTCTCTCCCTCTCAAGTGTCTATTTTATAATGGTGCGGCAGGGAAACCAAGATTCAAAAGACAGTCAAGCATCTTAACATTATTTCCCCCTTTCCCCATTCCAACCATGTCTCATTCCCTGTATTCCAGAACCCTGTTGTTCCAAGATTGTGCATATGTCATTATTTACCTCTGTCTCACTTAACCCATGCAAACCTGCCTAATTGTTTCCCATCTGCTTTGTTCTTCCATTCCCCTCCTCCTTCTTGTATATTGCCCCCCTCCCTAGCACCCAAATATCCTGTATATATTCCCTACCCTGTGCTCCACATTCCCCTCCCTAGCCTCACCCCACCCCCGACATCCTGTAATCAGCAGAGTCCCCCTCCCCTTTAGTATGGGTTCTTTTTCTTAGCCTTTTACAGTAGTGGTCCTATGCAGTATTTCTCCTTCTGTGACTGATTAATTTCACTAAGCATAATGTCCTCAAGGTTCATCCATGTTATGCAGTGGCTTGCAGCTTCCCTGTTATTCTTCAATGTAGCATAATAGTCCATTGTGTGTATGTATCACAGTCTGTTTATCCATTCTTCAGTTGATGAGCACTTAGGCTGTCTCCAACTTTTTGCTATTGTAAATAGTGCTGCTATGAACATTGGTGTTCATATATCTACTTGTGTTATGGCTCGCATTTCTTGTGGGTAAATACCAAGTAGAGGAATTTCTGGATCATAAGGTATTTCTATTTCCAACCTTCTGAGGAAGCGCCATATTGCTTTCCAGAGAGTTTAGACTGTTTTGCAATCCCACCAGCAATACAGGAAACTCCCAGTCTCTCCACATCTTCGCCAGCATTTATTGTCCTCTACTTTATTCATCTTTGCTATTTTTGCTGGTGTGAGATGATATCTCATTGTTGTTTTGATTTGCATCTCTCTAAAAGGAGCTCTGGTAGCATAGTGGTTTATGAATTGGGCTGCTAACCTCAGGGTCAGCAGTTTGAAGCTACCAGCTGCTCCGTGGGAGAAAGATGAGGCTTTCTGGTCATGTAAAGATTTACAGCCTTGGAAAACCTGTCAGGGTCACTATGAGTTGGAACTGACTCCATGGCACATAACAACAACAATGGCTAGTGATCATGAACATTTCTGCATGTTTGTTGGCTGCCTAGATCTCCTCTTTGGTGAAGTGTCTGTTCATGTCCTGTGCCCATTTTTTAATTGGATTATTTGTCTTTTTCTTGTAGAGGTGTTATACTTTCCTATATATTTTAGAAATGAGTCCCTTGTCTGATGTGTCATTGCAAAATTGTTTCCCATTCTGTGGGTTCTCTTTTTACTCTTTTGGTGAAGTGTTTTGATGCACATAAGTTTTTAATTTTTAGCATGTCCCAATCATCTATTTTGTCTACTTTTGTTTGTGTAGTTTTCAAAATGTTTGGTAGTCTGTGTATTCCCTGAATTGGTGCCCTCACATTTGTCCCTATTTTTTCACCGATGGCCTTCATAATTTTGGGATTCACATTTAGGTCTTTAAGCCATCCTGAGTTGGTTTTTGCATAAGGTGTGAGGTAAAGGTATTGTTTCAATCTTTTGCATATCACTTTCCAGTTCTGCCAGCACCATCTGTTGAAGACACTACCTCCTCCCCATGTGATATATTGAGGTACTTTGTCAAAAATCAGTTGGCTGTATGTGGATGGGTAAATTTCTGTATTCTCCATTCTGTTCTACTGATCAATGTATCTTTCATTGTACCAGTACCAAGCAGTTTTGACCACTGTAGCCATGTAGTAAAATTGAAGTCCGGGAGTCAGAGGTTTCCAACCTTATTCTTCTTCTTAAGCAGTGCTTTGCTTATCCTGAGTCTCTTTCCTTTCCATATAAAGTTTGTAATAGTTTTTTCCATCTCTTTGAATCTGCCATATTGTTTTAACTTAAAAGATTCAGCTCTTTCTCCTTTCCTTTAAGGTGTCCAGATGTTGTGAAGAAGTAAGAGATTATGTTGAAGAAAGATCTGGTGAAGATCCCTTAGTAAAGGGTATTCCAGAGGACAAAAATCCCTTCAAGGAGCTCAAAGGAGGTTGTATAATTTCATGAAAAGGTTTTGAATTATCTTGAGTTATAATCACAACACTAATTTGTTCTCACATGTAATACTTTAAAGCATGTACATGAATCTCTAAATTTATAAATACAAACTTTAAATAAACATTGGAATGTGATTATGCATAACTCTTTGTTTTTGTTATTTAACACAGTTTAAGACATGATTCCACCACACAAATGTCAGTTTGTCATACTGTGGTGGTTTGTAAGTTGCTGTGATTCTGGAAGCTATGCCACTGGTATTTTAAATACCAGCAGGGTCACCCACAGTGGACAGGTTTCTGAGGAGCTTCCAGATGAAGACAGACTAGGAAGAAGGAGTGACAAACTACTTCCAAAAATTTAGGCACTGAAAACCTTATGAATAGCAGAGAAACACTGTCAGATATAGTGCTGGAAAATGAGCCCCTCAGGTTGGAAGGCACTCAAAATGCCACTGGGGAAGAGCTGCATCCTCCTAGTAGAGTTGACTGTGATGATGTGAATTGAGTAAAGCCTGTGGGAGTAAAGCCCTCGGGACCTTCATTTGCTGATGGGGCACAACTCAAAATGAAGGAAAACAGCTGTAAACATCCATTAATAATCAGAACATGGAATGTACGAAGTATGAATCTAGGAAAATTAGAAGCTGTTAAAAATAAAATGGAACGCATAAACATTGATATCTTAGGCATTAGTAAGCAGAAATGGATTCGTATTAGCCATTTTGAATCCAGCAACAACATGGTTTACTAGGGCATAAATGACAAATTGAAGAGAAATGGTGTTGCATACATTGTCAAAAAAAAAAAAAAATCCAGATCAGTCATGAAGTACAATGCTGTCTGTGATAAGAATATACCCATGCACCTACAAGGAAGACCAGTTAATACAACTATTATTCAAATATGCACACCAACCACTAAAGACAATGGGGATGAAATAGAAGAATTTTACCAACTTCTTCAATCTGAAATTGATCAAACATGCAAAGGTTAGGAACAAAGAAGAAGGATCAGTAGTTGGAAAATATGGCCTCAGTGATAGAAATGATGCTGGAAATCACATGATAGAATTCTGTAAAACCAATGATTTATTCATTTCAAATACCTTTTTTAGACAGCATGAGGGATGTCTATACACATGGACCTTGCCAGATAGAATACATACAAATAAAATTGACTACATCTCTGGAAAGAGATGATGGAAAAGCTCCATATCA